GAGGATATAGACCTAACGACGAGACGTGGGTCGTCGCTCGCTCGCTCTTATTGACTCGGGAAAAATCAAGAGGACCACGCAGCAAGCCAGGGGCATGTGTGAACTCTTAGAAAGTTTGATGCCGACGTTGCACTTGCTTTTTCTTAAAGATATTTTATTCTATTTCATCATAAAAAAATTAAAAAAAAAAGAAAAAGAAAAAGAAGATATTTTATTCCATGTGCATGGTGTGTTCAAATGCCCTGAGTTAGAAGCTTGATTGAAGAAGATATTAAATGTTGGATTTAAGTTCCTTTATGTTCTAAAAAAAATCCCCGAAAGATATTTTATCATCTTTGGCATTTAGATATTTTTAAAGCAACTTATTAAATGACCATATAACCACAAGGAAAAAAATGTATGGTTCTATTTAATTTAGTCATTAAAACACTTAATATCAGATATTGGGTCGGTGCATTTGAAATTGTAGTTAGATTTTTTTGTAGTTATATAATGAATTTAAATATATATATTTGATAATTTATTTTAAGTTATAAAATATCACAATAAATTTACAATAATTTTAAATATATAATTATAATTTTATTATGGAGCTTTTTAACTGTGCCTTTACAAATAATACTTAATATTTAATATTTATTATAACTATAAAATTATCTATTAAAATTTAATTTTACTTAATTTAATTAGATTACAATTTATAATATTTTATTTAAATATAACCTCTCATTTATTTTAAAATTTCATAAAAAAATTAAAAACTTATTACCTCCTTACAAGCTTGTTCCCTACAAAAGCTCAAAGAACATCTATCATATAAAACTAAAAAAACTTAAATTATTATAAAGTAGTAAATATTATTTATTTTATTATTATATATTATACAATATTTTTTAAATTTTAATTAATAATTAACAAAATTTAATATATGTCATCGACAATACTTTTATAATCAAACTCTAAAATAACTTTTAACTAAAATTATAGTACAACATAATTTAGTATAGTCATAGTCACAATTAAAACTACAACTATAGTCATAACACCTTATAACAATTTTAAATGCACCCTTAGTTTGACAATGCTAGCTTATAATTATAGTTGTAGATTTTTTTAGTTATTTAACATTCTAAAAATATATAAAATATATTTAATATTTATATTAGTTAACATTTTATATATTTTTAAAATAATAAAAAGACATAAAATCGAAAAAGTAAAACACAAAAAAGTGTCACCTAACGAAGCTATTATTTAATACTCCCTCCATTTTAGAATAATAAACATTTTTTATTTTAGGATTTGTCTCACAATAATAGTTATTTTTCAAATTTTAAAAGAAACAAATATTTTTTTTTCTATTAAACCTTATGATTACCTCTCAATTTGACCACATGTTTGGGTTGAGGGAAAGAAAGAAAAAGGGAATTTTATCCCTCAATTCCCCTCCCCTTCTTTTCCTCTGGTGTCGATAGGTTGATAAATTAAGAGAAAAAAAATAAAGTAACAAAAAATTTTCTCCTCCCCCTCCTCTTCCTATCAATTTTTTTATAATCAAACACAGAAAAATTTTACTTTCACCTCTCCTTCTCTCTCCTCCTCTCCATTCTTCTCAACTCAAATATGCTATTAATTATCCATCCTATTGTAAAAAGAAAGTCTCTTTATTTTCATTTCTTTTTGAAGGCAAAATAGATAAAAATAAAAACTATCTCTAATTTTTTAATTTTA